TGCGCATGATTTTTCTGTTTGACGTTAATCGTTCTCTTCATAATGCCGTTTCTCCCTTTTGAATCCAACCAACAATAACAAAGATATTAGTTTTAGGCCCTTTTGACCTGTCACTGCGAATAATTTTTTTGTTTGACGTTAATCTATACCACGTTCTCTACGTAATGCCATTTTTCCAGTTTGAATTGGACCAGTAATGTCCGAGAAACACGCTAAGGCCCTTGTGGCTTTTCATTCTGCGCATGATTTTTCTATTCGATGTTAATCTATACCACGTTTTCTACGTAATGCCGTTTTTACCGTTTAAATCGGACCAATAGCAGTGAAGATACGTGCTAAGGCCCTTTTGGTATGATTTTTCTATTCTACATTAAAGGAGATTTAACCCCCCTTACTCCCCCCACTCCGCCGCTTCCCCCACTCCCCCGTTGGTGGCTCTCGACGTGTGACGTCACCGTCAAAATTGCCAGAATAAACCTTAGCGATTTCTTATGGGATTTAACATGGGGCTTGTTTTAGAACTCTTGCTGCTCCTTTACTTATATGACAACCGCCTATAATAAAACAGCAGTCTTCTGCGTATCCTGAATTTGTATCCCTGAAGTGGATGTTATTTTGGAACTTTCAACTGGTCCGAGTGAGCTAACTGATTCTTTAGCAATAAACTGTGATAATAATATTCACTGACACTGACAGCAGCAAGCAAAATATCAGGTGCGTTTTAATAATCCGCTTCTGCTTCCGGAATTGTCGGTTTAGTCGTTTTAACCTGTCAGATTAAAACAAGAAAACCGACAATTCCGAAGCAGAAGCGGATGATTAAAACGCACCTATTAAAAATATTGCGCCAAGATGTAGGCAACACGTAATAAGGGTTCAAAATGGCGGAGTTTTCTATCTCCTTTTAAAAGGCACTCAGAAAGCTGCGCAGTGCGACCATTCTCCGTATAGTAAAAGAAAATCAAAGTAGGTGACAATAACTAATCGTTGGAACAAGCGAAGTTAACTGTCGTGACGTAATTTACGTGCGATGCACAAAATTATGCTAAAAATAGCGTGGTTTCAAGCAGGCACACTGCTGTTTCACGGATCTATTAACCTGTCTTTTTAGCATTCATTCTCAGACACCTCTCGCGTTCAGTCAACATATTGAACCAATAGACGCGATCAGCCTGAGCGCAGTGGGGTGCCACAAAATGTAGAGATTAATACATATGAAAATAATAAATATATTAAAGTGAATTTATATTATTAAGTTATTTATATTAGTCCAGGATCCGTAGGTAAGGTCGACCTTCACCCATCTGTTTAATGGATAAAAGTTATTTTTTATTAAATAAAATATGTTTTTAAATATACCGCAAATGGGTTGCCTAAGAAAATACGGTCACGGCCATTTTTTACTTTCCTCTCTTTGTACAGATAAGGAAAGTATAGGAATCATAATAAAAGTTGTTTATGATGTCATTCTCTATTATTTTGTTTCTATACATGATTTTCCTAAAATGGACCTAATTTGAGATATTTGATGAAAAGTGCAAATTTCGAATTTTGAAGATAACTTTAAAACGGATGAAGAGAAAACACTACATTTTGAACTTAAGCTTTAATCTATCCTGCGATGAGCTGATTAAAGTTTGGGCACAGTCAAGGCATTTGGGAAATACTTTACAGGATGTTGTTTTTTTTTACTTTAAGAAAATAAATAGTCTGGACCGAATTTTCTTAGGCAACCCATTTGCGGTATATTTAAAAACATATTTTATTTAATAAAAAGAAAGTTTCATCCATTAAACAGATGGATCTTAGACTATATGTTCTGGATGTTCACTGCACAAGTGAATCAATGGAGAAACCGCCCCTGGTTAATAGTATAGCTTATATGTATGAGATGCGGTTGGTCAGCTGTGGAAGTATATTGAGTGTATGAAAAAAAAATTTTTGACAATTTTTTTACAATTTTTTTTAAGGCACGTTAAGCTTTTTTCGGATGGGTAAAATCTTTCCAGCTCGCCGACATGCTTATAGTTATAGAATAGCTATAAGTATGAGATGTGCTTGGCCAGCTGTGGAAGTATATTGAGTGTATGGTAGAAAATTTTTTTTTTACAAAATTTTCTTTTACAAAATTTTCTTTTACAAAATTTTCTTTTACAAAATTTTCTTTTACAAAATTTTTTATGATTATTCTAGTACTTTTTCGTCGTTGTTCCGTAATAACATCGATTTTCCGCATGTTCTAACATTGTCTTTCTTGATAAATAAATCTAAATATTTGAATCCTGTTTGATTCTTATTTGTTTTGATTAATTTTAATCTCACAATGCTTGGTCGTGGCTATTCTGTTTCTACACATTTTTAACAATGAAGTTAATAGTTCTTCCTATTTTCTTGTTTTTCATCATCAAGTACAAAAATAACTCGACTATTTTATTACAACTATTTTAAGACTCTAAACACCGAATAAATGTTGGGTTTAAACTGTTTATTTATTTTATTATCAGTAGCAAGTAACATACACGCACCACGCACGAGTGTTTGGAGTAATTAAAGAATTTTGAAGTCAGGCTTATCTCAAGTAACGGAAGTTGGAAGTTAGTGGAAAATAGACCAAAGGAACTAAAAACATCGAAAGCGATTAGATTATAAAATAAAATTAGAGTGATAGTTTTTTTTCTGGTTTTTGATATTTTATAAAGATGTTGAATTAGCACCAATAAATACTCGTAAACAATGTTTCTAAAAATCGAAGTGTGCAAAGAAACAGAACGCTGAAACCAAAAATGTGTTTGATAACAACGAACAACGTCGGCGCGTAGGCTGGACCGAAATAGGCATATTTTTAAAAAAATAAAAATTAAGTTGACAATACCTATCAAAACTTTCGTATTTTTCGTATTTTTTTTTATTTCTAAATCCACATTTTCAGTCCTCTACGGCCGCTCACTTTAGGGGTGAAAAGTTAAAGTTTGAAATTTTGACGTACATACCTACTTAACAAGAAAAAGTAGTCAACCTGTATATAAGAGTTGCTTTGGTAACGTCATAACGATATATTATTTTTGTGACAGCAGTATTATGTAAAAAAAAAACTACAAAAACACCAAAAAAAGAAAGCAGTAGTTGCCCTAAACTCCCCGCTACTCACTAGTTGTATCTCAAATTGTATGCTGACTAGCGAATAAGCGAATAAATTGATTTACCACAACCAGTCACAGTTTCAATAAAATCTAAGTTAGCACCCCAAATCACAATTGAAAAGAAACTTTAGAAATTTCCTTCCTTTGTGATTCACTTTTTATTTTTAATATTTTTAAATAACAGTTTTAGCCCTCTACTACAGCTTTTAACCAGTTTAATCCTTTTGTATTTAAAAGATAAGGTAAAAATTACTTGAACAACAAATAAATATTACACGATTAAAACTAAACAACACATTTATTTAAAAATGGTAAAAAGTACCTAAAGAAATCAAATATAAAGAGCTCACAAATCAAACAAGAGCTTACAAATCAAATATAAGAAGCTAATACATCAAGTACAAAAAACATAGTAATAAAAAAACATTTACTGAATTATAAACATTCTAATTTTGGTATAATTTCTTCGGATTTTATTCTTGAGCGAATGAAGCCGTCTCTTGATTCTGTTACTAAAAAAGATGACTCTGTAACTAATTTTACGCATCTCTCTACGGATTGAGTATGGCAAGGGATCCAAAGATCTTGGGAAAATCAAAGTCTGGAATTTCAATTTCGTTCATAAGGTCCCTAAGATTATCATCAGTAAAATCCCTTAAAACAGGAGGCAGTGTCACATCGCACTCATTCCAAGTAAATTAACTAAAAGTAGTCTGTAGCACTTAATTTAATTTTTGGTACCACAAAGTGTCTTACTTTAACGGTTTCTCGACTGACTTCTCTAGCTTTTAAGATTCTTCGTAGATATAGTTCCCGAACCCATTCACGAGTGTCTGTTAGCATAGACAAAAGAATGTTTTCGAAGTGTATAAAATATGCGTTTCTTTGGATTACCGTATCCACAATACTTTATACCGTGACAGTTCAATCGTTTCAAATACATGCAAAACACCACTAGTGGAACTGAAATTTAGTTTAATATTAAACCACATTGGGACATACACTTTAATTATGAATTCGGCCATATCTTGTTGGCTTTTCCGTTCCAGCATAGAGCCGAAGAACACGATTTGCCATTGTGAGCCATCTAGAGAATTTTTAGCTTGATATTGTATTGCAAAAAATACGTTTTTCCCTTTGGATTGGTAGCTTTTTCATTCCAGCATCATAGAAACTCTTCGGACATTCCTGTAGCCATTGGAGCACAAATGCTTCCACCACTTCGTTATTGTCGAAACGCTGGCCTCCGAGCGATTCTTTGAGCGTTCCAAAAGGATGTCACAAGAGCAAAGGTCTAGACTCTAGGGAGAATGTTCCAGTATTTCCCATTCAAATGTTTGCAATTTTTCCCTCGTGACAATAGCCACATGAGGTCTGGCATTGTCATACAAAAGAATGACATTTCTTACCGATTGCTTCTTCCTTTTTCTTCGAAATGGCTTTCAGTAACTCAGCAATATTGTGCATTAATCGTGTAGAAAGTCATCGTGAAAAACACCTAGTTGGTTGATCAGAAACCACTGTTGCCATTACCTTTCCGGCTGACAATCGCGTCTTTGCTTTCAAGGGTGTAACTTTTCAGACCCTCCAGAAAATTCTTGGTGCCATGCAAACACACGGGTTCTTGACAGAGTGTTATTCCCAAACTGTGCCTGCAATCGTCGCAAAATTGTGGTTGGTTTTACGCCCTCATTTGCCAAAAACTTTATTATAATCCGTTGCTCCACGAAGACATGCACTTCTTCCTCGCTCATGGTTTCTTTGCATACTAAAGAGACGCGAGCGAATTTTGATCGGTTTTCTCCGCTCCCCAGAGGTAAAGGCTAACTGACCACCAATTCTTTCCAGATCAATAACCGCTTAGGAAGTTTTAATCTGAACAGTCCCGTTTATATTTGATATACCCTCGTAGATAGATTCAGTTTCTTCGATAAGCGATACGTGTTCTTCGACAACAGTTTTCTTGTATAATCTACCGTTTTTCTTCTCTCTCACTTTATTTTTGTCAACTATTTTCGACGGATCTTCTGTGGTAATTATTCCTACATTTTTTAATACTGCACTAGCAATCGCAGCAGCTGATAGATCAGATGTACCATATTTATCGCATACAAGACCTAACGTAGGTAACTTTGTTCTTATTTGAGTGTTTTTTGAGGTAGAGGGTACGTTTGGATCGATAAAATCGTCATCTGAAGAGGATTGATATTTTGAGGGGTCAGATTCTGACCCTGAGAATAATGTAGTAGTTTGAGAGGAACAGCTGCCTTTTAATAAATTGCAAGATTCTGATTAATATTTTTTTTTTGTCTTTCGATTTCTCTGGATTGCCTTAGTTTATTCGACAATATTTTCTTTGTTTTTCACGATCTACATTTCGTATGCTTATTTTTCTGACCGATCTTAGATCGGAAAGAAAATTTTGTTCCTTTGTAAGTACTTTCCGGGTCATTTTACACATGCATGCAGAAAAATCGCATTTACAAGCAGCTATGTCAAGTAATGTTTCGCTTGCTTCTGGGATATCTTATTAAATTCTTATATTTTTCATAATACTTCCGTATTAATTGCAAAATACTGTCTTTTGAAACAGTTAGAATTGATGTCTCTTTCCAAATGTTTTCAATTTTAGGCACAAGTTCATTGCAAACTTCTAAAAAACTTGGTTCTTTTTTAGTATATTTTTGATATTTTAGTTCATAGCGTAAGAATAAATAACATCGTAGCATCTGTTCAATTGTCGGCAACATACGAGGGTTCAAATCGGTTGGGTTCCCAAATATAGGACATTCCACTTTACTCCTAGTTAAACCACAATTTAAAACACTAATTTTTGTTTATTATTGTTTATTACAACGCTTCACTTCTTAATCAAAATCAAAGTTACGCAGATGTTCGCTGTACGACGATAAGGCACATAATACCGCCGAATCTAAGAAATAGCGTATTTATAACCAACCTCGAAAACGTGTTAAATCTTGCATCGACAATTGCAAATTGCGAATTCTAATAATCAAGTCTTGTTTTCTTTCTACCTATTTAAATAGATTACAGTTTTAGGTGATTTGACGTTGAGAAGATTATTTTTATATAAGGGTGGGAGTGGGATGTTAAAAAGAGTGTAAATTAAAGGGTGCTTTTATAGTGGAAAATAGTCGGGCTCCAATTCTATTAAAAATCGGGATTTTAATTTTGTCATGATGAAAGTAAATTTCTTTGTCTATATAAAATTTTTAAGGAGGTGGTAGAGGGCTTAAAACGTATTTCTAAAATTTCGAAAAAAATAACCTGTGTAAGTTTAAACAGTAACGAGGCAAGTTCGTATGATGGAAAATTTTTTCCAACACATTACTATTATTTTCCGCCTGTTATGTTCTAATTTAACAGTTTTCCATCATACAAACTTGCCTCGTTACTGTTAAAACTCGACCTAACATGTACGTTACGGATAACATAAACGTTCAATCATAGGACCCATGATCTTGGCGAATCGCCGCTAAGCTTTTTTAATTGTACATATAGTTATTTCTGTTTTGTTCGATTTGTATATCTTGCTTTAAATAAACTCTTCTAAGTAAATTCAACAGGGACGGCTTTCAAATATTCTTTGATTTAATTCGCCGTATTTGTAATATGTTAAAAGTATTTTTAACAATTGTCAAACAATTTTAAATGAAAAATTACCCTTTTTATAATGCTCGTATATATTTGTTACTAATTTTTCTTTGTTTCAGAAGTACCCATGTAATTCTCAAATATGTCGATCAACTCCAGATGTACCCTTCAGTCCCCAAAAGTAAACGGCAACTCGAATATACCATTAAGGAAACAACTCGGTAGACAGTTTTCAAATTCGAAAATACCAGTTAACGATCAAGCCCAAAGGTGGAAGCAAAAATATGAGGAAGCCGAAGAGAAAAGGAAGCTATTATTGACTGAAAAAGAAAAAGGTGAGATTTTATATTTTATTTTTCTTGATTACTATTTAACTTGTTTTAGCTCTTAGAAGTTTAAGTGATATAGAAAAGAAATATTTAAATTTGCAAATTAAACATGAACATTTAGAAACTGAACTATTTGAGAAAAACGAAGAATATAGTAAATTATCTACTGCATCAAAAAATTTATATAAAGAATATGAAACTCTGAAAAACCAGTATGAGACAGAAACTAGGGCTATGTCTGGGTAAGTAGAAATATCAGTAATTAAATAAAACCAAATTTGAACGGTCAACTTTTTAGTTTGGAAATATTAAAGTAAATGTTTTCTTCAAAAGTACACATGTCCTTGGACCAGAAAAATATCTACATCTTCATTAATGCCGAATTCGTACTTCGCACTTTCATTTGCTCTTAGAATTCTGTTACTTGACTAGTCTCAGGTAATTTCACAATCGGTCACAACCTTGAATCTAAAAATAGAACGTATTCCTGTGAATAGAAATGGCAACACCGCGGGGCTTTACTGCGATTTAAAGATATCATGTAGCGAAATCTCTATTTCTATAGGTTTTTTATGATTTTAAAGCACAGAAAAAGTATACACGTCTAAACCCCTGGGACGAAGTCTCAGCGGTCCTAAAGGAAACGTTCAAGCATTTCTCTTATAGGAAATTGGACGAAGAGCGATGGGTCCTAAGGAGAAAGCGGTTTTCTTCATCGCTGCCATGGAATATTTGTTCAGCAAGTTACCGACCAAACCCACCGAGACAGAGAGGCTACACATCATAAGAAGACATTTGTTACCACTTACCACATATACAAACCAAATACTATAATGTCCTTTATTCAAACGTTGATCCGATTGGGTCGAAGAGTTGAGGAACCTGAGAGATTTATCAGCGGTACGCTCCTACCATTACTAACTATAGCCAACTATTGAAACCCGAGTTAACCTACAGGAAGCCAAATAATTTCCAGCCATTCGTTAATGTCCCAAGAAGAACAAATAGTTCCGCTTTGCCTACTGATAATCTGGTCCGACGGCACGGCTAATTCACTCTAGTCCAAAATGCTGGAACTGTAATGAGTTAGGCAATCGATTTAAAAAGTGGCCAATTAAACCAATTAATGTTTTTGTTTCAAATGTGGTTTAGCGCAAATCACGTGACATAACTGTCCTAAGTAGACTGGCCAGAGCCTTCCTTCATCCACTTGATAGCCGTGACATAAACGTCAACTTTAGCTATCCATGACTACGTCCTCGTACACGCTAAGCACGATTTCCTGGACAATATTGAGAAATTCTGGCTAAAAAATATTTGAATTAACCTGGATACTGGACAAAATGCATGTAAAGGGTAGTGCAAATGCTAATAAAAAGAGTTTTAAGTAGTGTCTGTATCCCCACAACCTTAATGAATAAGACTAAAATATTTGAAGTGGTGATAGTAGTTTTTTTGGAGTGGGAATTCATTACGGACACCTGGCATATGGTTCTGCCCTTACCTGGTAGTGTGGGGCTCCCGGCTGAGGGTGCAATGTCGATATACCCACTAAAACCACCCTTAAAGCGTTGTGGGTCTTCTTGGAACTTCCTGCTACTATTACTTCAGAAAGACTGCTTTTTTGTTGGTGTAGTGAGCAAGAAGTTTAAGCTTGTGTAATCATCTTTCGTCTTTTGTTGGACATAATAATCATGGCTAGTTTACAGATTTTTATCCAGTTTTCTTCTGTCCCGAGCATCTTATGAGGTTTTCCGGGGTAATTCGGCCTACTTTCTCTTCTACCTTTTTTCTCTCAGCCTTTCATCTATCGCATTCAAAAAACGTGTGTTCAGTTGTGCCTACCTGATAACCATATTGGCACTTGTCCGTGTTGCTTAGAGAAAATCGGTAAAGGTACTCGTGGAATTCACCGTGCCCCGTTAGGATCTGCGTCACATAGTAGTTTACGTTTCCAAATTTTCTATCGACCCACTGTTTTATGTCTCTAATCAGTCTCTTTATCTTATTAGCTGTTTCGTCATCAGTATCCCATTTTTCCTGCTACTTCCTTAGTAGGGTTTTTCGGGTTTCAGACTTATTTTCGCCTGTCTCAATTTTGGATCGCTCTTCTACTAAAACATTTATAGGTGGCATTCTGGCTATCATCAGTATGGCTTTGGTTAAGGTAGTTTCTATAGGCGCTTGTTATTCTGATGGCTACTTTTCTTTGTACACTCAGGAGAGTGTTTAGGTAGATCTTCTTTTTTAGAGCTCTCTGCCAGGTACTTGACCCATATAATATAATAAATTGCACCACGTTATCTAGTATGTGTCTACTGTTTCCTCTAGGCCCTCTTATGTTGGGCATTAGTCTACTGTGTGAGAGAGAGCTTTGGTTGCTTTCTCAGCAGTAAGTTTGACATGGACACCCATACTCACCCATACAGCACACTAAATCCTTTGGATATCTACTGAACATCCCAATATCCACTGAATGTCCAGTCCATGGTAGATATCTATTTTATATCCATGAAATGTAATTTATAGACATGCAAATGTCCATAAATAATAGTAATTATATAGCAAATTATTAAAAAATTACGCCATTGTGCTCGCCATTGTGGCTAATAGTACCGTTCAGATATTTAAAATTAATTTTTTTAAGGTGTATTCAATATCCCATGAACATCCACTAAATATATCAAAGTCTAGGCGCGAACGCAAACCATCGTGTATATCCACTAGATGTTATTTGATTCTGCTTACTAAGTATAGATGGCGATACCACTAGCGCATGCTCGACCCGCCGTAATTGAGTTCGATCAAAATGTGTGTCCTAATCACTCCATTAGAGACTGGAGTCGAGAATTTTCATTTATTGCTGAAGAGTCCTAATAAGGATGACTTTCTCCTTAGTGGGCAAAATCAAAGGCAGAGTGTTGAAAATATTTTGAGTGTTGAAAATATTTTTTATCTCTGCTATTTTCTTTCGACGTTATTCAATAATCATTGGTTACTTATGAACCTCTACTAAATATTCCCATAAAATATTTTGCTGAATATCCGAATATCTTCTATATCCTGGGATATAGACGGACATTTGGTTGGATATCCATATTGGATATATTGAATATCCACAAAATATATTCTGTGGATATATCTGTGATTTCTTGTATTTTCTGGAAGATACCCATTAGATATTTTGCTGAATATCCATTGGGATATCTTCTATATCCTGGATATAGACGGACATTTGGATATCCATATTAGATCCACGGAATATTTCTGATATCCTGTGGATATATTGGGTATCCACAAAAGATATTCTGCGGATATCTCTGGGATTTGGTGTGTTGTCTGGGCATGTTACGGTTGAGATATATTCTAAGGTATTTAACAGATTCTTGGCTTCATATCTTAATATATCCAATAGTCACCTCAAGTCCTTTGATTTTTCTGTCTCCCACTAGCAGCACTGTCTCAGTTATATGTGGGGCAAGTTTGAGTCTTCTACTACTTACTTGTTTCTCGGTCAGAACCAGCTTTGCTATTTTCCATGGTAGTGGAAATTTGTCTTTTTGTTTAGTACTTTAAGACATTTCATTGAGTAGTTCACAACCAGTGCTTTGATCGCCTCGGGAGGTATCCCATCAGGACCGACTGCTTTTTTTACTTTGATCTTCGCCACCGTATTTTCTATTTCCTTGGCTGTAAAGAGGGGTATTTCGTCTTCATTTACTGGGATTCTTGCCCATCTGACCATGGCGTAAGTTGGGAAAAGTGTCCTGGATATTTCTAGTTGTTTGTCATCGTCCAGGCTAGCTGATGCAGCTACTTTTAGTCTTTTAATGATTATCTGATAATAACCAGTACTTTTTTCCAGGCTCTTTGTTTTGCTTCAAAGATTTAATTCTTTAGGTTACCCCGACTCTCTCTATACAGTACCTGGCATGTTAATTTGTCGTCTTCATTACCTCTTCTATTAGCTCTGCACATGTCTCGTCTTCGTCGTATGCATATATTTCTTTTTTCTGCAACCTCGTTTCACCACCAATATACAGGTTTCCTATTGGTGCAGCCTTTCTTGGATAGTGTTCTATTACACGATGCTATTATAACGTCAGCTAATTCCTTTGGGGTTTTTGGACATCCAGTTGTTTCAATTATTTTACCTGCTTCCATTACTAGTAAAACAAAATTGTTTAAAAAATCATGTAGATTTATTAAAAACATTAATTCTCATTTAGCAATGTCAGATATAAAAATAATGATTGTCCATTAGTGGACTAATATCCAAAACCGCTTATTAACAACCCCTAAAAAGAGCATAATAATAATTGGTTTATGAAGAATACTTTTCGAACACATTACAAATCAAATTTTAGATACCTAGTTCTTTAAGATACTATAAGATACACTATTTACGTAACTTTATTATTTATTTGACTTTTTCTTATTTTAATTTAGGCGCCAACACTTTAAAAATTTAAAATATTCATCCTAACAATTTGGAAATCATTGACCATATCAGCGATAGCTCAATTGGAAGAACGCCTTGCGTAAGACAGGAGTAGGTGGGTTCGAATCCCCGCGGGCAGATTTTTTTCAACTTTTTATTAAATTTGTTTTTACCTTGGGGGTTCAAAAATAATTTTCATTATTTCGTAATTGTAATATTGCTTTGTGTTTAGAGATTTCCTGGGAATGTATTAAAACAATATTCTACAATGTTTAAGAGTACTTCTTTCAATATTCCCAAAGCTTAATAAGAATTAATTAATATACTGTGTCTTTTCTAGAGCATTGAAGGATGCTTCGCAATGGTACCGAGAAAACAAAGAACTGAAACGAAAAACTCTGCTTTTAATGGACAAAGATGCTGTGGACGAAGGAGTTGATGCGGGTGATGGAGACTCCAACTGCGAAACTGAACTAGAAAATTTAAATAAAACTATTAAACAACTCAGCACAGAAGTTGCCGAATTACAAACAGAAGTTGATTCATTAAAACAAACAGAATTTCAGACATCGGAAGAAAATATTAAGCTTGCAGAAGTGAGTATAGAAATAAGTAATTTTGTTATTACAATAAATTATAAATAATAGCGGTATTAAAAGAAATTAACTGACATGTTGTTTACGTTTAGACATTCCAACGATCTCTCAAACAATAGCTGCCAGTGGGAAGGGCTCGTGTTTCCAAGGGGGTTGCGACTTAGCCTTTCATTTTGGACGCTATTTTTATTCGAAACAGTAGTCGCCAAGACTGCGAATTTTGTGAAAAATGTACAAGCGGTTTTTTTAAATAATATTTTCATTATGTTTGACAGAAAAAATTTAAATTTAATATATTATTCATGATGTTACGTGTTATATATAGAATACATCGTATGTCGCAACCACTTAGATATACCAACCTTTCCCACTGACAGTTATTTTGTTTGGAATGCCTAATGTTGTAGCTCATCTTTCAAAAATCAAACTATCCATATTATAAAAAGATTAGAAATAGTACAAAAATAAAGATATAAATACCAATAAATAAAAATAAAATATTAGATTTTTTAAAAAAACTAATGTACTAAGGGACATTAAGATAGGAAACGCTCATAAGAATCCAATGCTTAACGACCAGCTTTAATTCAGTTAACATCTGACCCCATTATGTGGCGCTTTCATCGATATCAAACAAATAACGCAGCGGAAAATTTAAAAACCTGATAATAAAGGTTGTATAAATATCGACTGCACTCTCATGTTCTGTTAAATAAATTTAAACAAATGTTTCTACACTAAATTATTTATTAAAAAGAATACTACACTTACAGTCTATTATCAAACGAATTGCCAACGGTGTCTTATTTAAAAATCTTGAGTGCAAAGTCAATAATGGGAATTCAGATATTTTTCTTCCTATTTCAAATCTTATTCTCTCTAACGTTTTGAAGACATTTTCTTGTTCTAAAACAATAAATAATAAATAAATACCTACTTTGAGACAAAAGTTGCCTACTGTTTATGTTACTTATATGAATAGATCTTACTTTGGTTAATTAAAGAACGCCACATTGGAGTTGTTAAATTTATTCATGCGGCATGTACTAATGAAATACGATCTCCGACTTATTGTAATATTACAAAATATAATTATTGACCTCAAATTTCACACAAAAACAGCCACAACCATTATACTTAGTTCATCTAAAGCAATGTTACTCAAAGTGTGCTGCACGGAGCCCTGGCGCATGGGGCTCCGCAAAGCCTTAGTGGGGGCTTCGCGAAGAAAATAATAGCCATAATAAAAAAAAAAGAAGCCGTACGTACTATCGCCACAAAAGGGAGGGACCTTGATGTAATTTTGAAATTCTTTTGTTGAAACTCTCCCATACTCTTATATAATAATTTAACTGTGTAGATAACATTGTGAATGTTTGCAATTCGATTTTTGTAAACAAAATTAATCTAGTAGTTGGTCGTCGTTGGTTTAATCAGAGAAAGTAACAACCCTTAAGAGCAAACCGGGCACCTTGTAAATTACTTCGTACCTTTTATTTTTAGTCCGATTTTTGTGAAATTTTTAGGAAATACCAATAACAAAACTTAAGGTGGATAAAACTTGATTTTTTTTGTAAAAGTATTTATTTTGATAATATTTAAGATTAAATTAAAAAAAAAACATTTAAGCGCCATTCTGTATTAATTCTATGAAAATTTGCTGCTTTTTCTTTTAATAAATATCTAGAAGTTTTTAAATGAAAAGATTTCCCGTTTTTCTTAAACGGCTCTATAGAGTGCTGGTCTTATCATTACAGAAATTTAAAGCTATCAATATTCTCGAGACACAACATCGCGAAGTATTCCTAGTGACCCTTATATAAATACAATAATTTTATATTAGAAAATTCTGAAATTATTTGTGTTTTCGCGAGAGGTCCGGTTTGCTCTTCTTAACCATCAATGCACTGATTTTTCAAATACAAGAAGCCAGTACCAAGTTGAACTACAAAACCGAAAACACACTAATTTTCGTTCATAAACAAACACATAACAACCAATAACAATCTAGTTGAATAATCGATAAAACGAGAGAATCAATAATTATTATTATAACTGAGGATTCATTTGAAGAGAATTGGGAAATGGAATTTTAATATTTTTCATGCCCTGTATTTAATTCAGGGCCAGGGCCAGAGGGGGCATTTTATGGTGATTGAAATTCATGTGCTTAATGTAAATCCACACTTTGAATAACAATAACTTTTTGTTGTTAAATAATATAGCAAATAACTTTTATAATTTATTTGAAAATAATGATAGCAAAATTTTTATGACGGAGAATTTCTAAAATAAAATGTTTAGCAATATTTGTTTCAAAATAAAATCTTTTGTTTTCTTCCTAAAATTCTTGTCTTACATTTTCTAGTCATTTTAATCAACAAAAATAAGGTAAGTATGTAATCTCTGCAGGTAGAAAATATTTACAATTCAAGATTAAAATTTCTAATCAGCAGAAAGTGTTATGCAGATTGTAAAGTATTTTAGTTAAGATTTACATTTCTGTTTGTATAGTCCTGTGATTGTAACACGCAGAATTGTTAGTTCTGTAATAAGAGGCGACAAAAAGCGATATTGATCAAGTGAATGTGTGTAATAAAAATGGTACAAACGTCCAATTATTAAACTCCTGTGAAATTTAACCGTGCGCGTACATATGAAAACTTTAGTGTTAAACGTACATGACGCTCTTTGACATGAACATTTCAATAGTGCTGTTCGGAGTATGCTTTCTAAGTGACCGGAGTTGGAGAAGCAACCATTTATAGATTTTTAAAGCAACGAAAGGATAGAAGTATTACAGTAGCACCTAAAACGTCAACTGGGACAAAACCCATTCAAATAGTCGGTACTATAAAACAACTGATCCGAAAAACAATGCATTCGTTTTATTTACAAAAAAAAAAGATACCTACTTTGGATAAAATTTTAGTAGACATTAATGGAGAAACACTTTGGCAAACGTTAAAAGAGACAAATTGTGGAAAACTTTATATAAATTATACTTCGTTTGAGAGAAGAACGATAGAAAATCTGCGCTCATAGAGAAAGATTAAATTATTTGTTGGATGAGGCAATATTTAAGGGAAATTAGAAAATTAAGAATAAAGGACATTTTGTAAAAAAAAAAGTTAGGCAAGCTAAACAGGTTACAAATGCTGGTCAAGCATTTATAGAAGGTTTATAGAAGGTCATATAAATTTGGATGTGTATATATTTATTATTAAATTTGAAGGAAATGTCCTAACCTAATATAATATAATGTTTTATAAAAATAAATGTGGGCACTTAATTGACAGTTTATTATTTTTTATATTAAAGTAATTTCGTTTTTCCGCCATTGAGATATATAATTATTGGTTAATCCGTTAGGATTTGCTAATGTACATTTTATGATAAGAAAATCCAGATAAGAAACTATCAATATTTACTTTTTTCTGCTTTGATAGACCTTTGCGTAAAAACTGTTCTATCATGCATTTTCAAATATACTATAGGAATTTAAAAAATGTTGAAAAATCTTTACTTGAAACAGCTGTAATAAATAATGTAACAATAACATTATTAGCAGGTAGAAATGGCAACAAATTATCCCAAAATTTGTATTTTAATTATTTTTAATGACAGCTTAATCGCCTTATAACAATTAACCAGAGAAGGTTTCAGAATATTTTATATCTGTCTTTCTCTTTACTTTTGAAAATTTGGTATATTTAAATACGTTATTATAATAATTGATTGTTTTAATTGGACTTTATTTACGTTTTAATAAAAGTCCACATCGTTAGTTAAGTATTTTTTTGGGGTTAGTCTGATTTAATCTCCGATAACACTAAATAAGCCTGATGGCTTATTGTATTTGACTATATTAATTCATAGTACCCACTCTATCACCTTGATCAGTGGCGTATCTCCATATGGATATGAAACAAAATTGAACATGGAACAAATTTTTATTTTAAATTTGAATATTCTATGTTATATAACAAAATCTAGTCGCCTAGTCCAGGAGCTAATACCATATTACATAACTGATCGATGAATTATACAAGTAGAAAATTCGTTTTTAAAGTGCCGCGAAACCTCCTCACAACAATTTTTAGAAAATTTAAATTTTTATTTATCAAGTTACTTCTAACATATGTATGATGTATTTGATTTAGTAATTATTATAAAGCAATTTAGAGGTCTCTTACTCTTATTTTTTCTTATGATCACTTATCATTTTGATGATGTGTTTGAGTTTGCGGACGTGCTGGAACTTCTTGGGGGATATATCCCCATTATCCCCCGTGGGTACGTCACTGACCTTGATATCTGTGACAGGTTGTGTTCTATGGGATCTTGGATCAACCTGTCGTTGTCCAAAAAGTTCCTGTCTTTTGGATCCAATCCAGTTGCATAGTATGTGTTTGGCTGTTTCTAGTTCCTTGTGTTTCGATAACTCTCCTATGGTTTATGTAATCTTGATAAACCTCAGCCTGAAATACTAAAGGTATTAGTCTAGGAGGAATTAGGAAATGAGTGTCGGAAAATATTCCTTAAAAAATATATCAAATAATATATAAATACAGTTTGCCATGTGACAAAGTGATCTCATTTCGTTCAAGACGAAATTGTTAAAATAATTCCTAAAAAATAGTAGCTTTACAACAAGAGTGGATATGGACAATCCACTCGAGTTGTACAGTATGTTTTTTCTACGACCCGCTAACGAAAATCTACAAATATTAAAAATTATTTTAGGTTATTAAGATAATATAATTAATTTAAAAATAATTTTTGACTTTACTAATTTATAAAATAAAATAAACAAAAAAAAATTCATTTTATTTTTCTCTATCTGAGAATCGAACTTAAGTCATCCGTATAGAAGGCAAAAACGCTAACCACAGGACCATCTACGCGTTTATTTTTTTGCTTTACTACTCTTGACTTCATATAAGTTTATTTAAATTAACAAATTATTTATAATAAATAAAAATAGAAATTCAATTATTTATCGATTCTACACAAGAATAATTCATTTTAATGTATTTCAATAACTAACAAATATACTGACAATTAGTTTGACATAATTAGTTTGACATAATTGTCACATATTTAAAATTTTAAAAATAATAGCAGTCGGTTGATCAAAATATGAACTGTGATTGGTGGATTTAATTTTTTTGCAGTGTTCTCACTACCTAGAATGAATATGAAATATTATTGCAGATTGTACCTACCTACCTACCTACTCACTTACAAAAAATTTTTTGCCTGATGATGAGTTTTTAGGTCGAAAGCGCTTGCAACCCAACCTAATAAATTTATGTGGTCGACAGACTTTGAGCCTTTTACTTCCCTTTGAAATATATTCGTTCAGTTGAAGGCAATATTATACTTTTTCGTGTTGTAATCTGTGTGTAGATAAGCTAATAGCCATGTATGTGTATAAAGAATTATTTTTAAACGGGACATGTTTTTTTATATTTTTTACTCTAATATAAATAAAAAATGACGTATAAATATCTTTACTTGATAAAGTTAATATTTTAGAAGATATGCATTTTTAAAGTTTAAAAAATCATGAGATTAATTTTTTGTCACATTTAAGTTGGAATTATATTCAATTTTTATATATATTTATATAGTCCCTAATCTGACTGCTAAAAGTGTCATATCCTTTTTTCTAATTGTTTGCAGTTGGATACAGGAGAGTGATGTGAACAACATGTACTATGTTCCGGTGGTGGAAGCGGTCATATCGATAAACAACTTTAGACTAAATACAGGTTATATAATCGCTGCACCATTGGGATACAGTACATGTTGTTTACCCCCTCCGATGTATCACAACATTATAAATAGGCAATAAGAATTTAAAAATAAGAGCTACATTTATTTTACTTTTGATCCTAGACCGGTCCTGAATTTCAATAATACCAAAAGACCTAAGACACCATTAATTTTCCATTAGTCATAGCCAATTCTAAATAGAAATGAACAGTTATTGTCATTCTTTTAAAAGTGTTACTTATGTTTTTAAAATAATAGTGATAAAAAATGGTGAATAAACCTGCCAAATGTTGCACAGAAAAAAGTGCATTTGAGTATATTAATCATCACAGCGATGTTGATATGTTACAAACATATAGGACTAATTTTAATATCAATATTAATGGCACGGAAGAATATACAAATGAAATAAATAAGGTGACTAAAACCATTAACATATTTTTACAATTATTACAATACAAAATAAAATAACTTGCATTCATGTTTTATATTATTTATTAGGTACTAAATTCATATTTCCATTTTTATAGTCTCAACATTTTAAAATACACATTACAATATATTCTTGTAAAACGTTTTCTTTACGTCTTGTTTAGTAATTAATTATTTTAATTATATTTTCAGTAATATGATTGTTCAATGTATTTACAAACTTTCCTATTAAACCTAAGGTGGCGGGTTTTAATTTTGACCATTGATTACTTGGCTCCGTCTTCCTATTCGTCATTTATTTTTCTTTCCAATCATTATTACTTTACACCTTTTCCATCTTTGATTATATTGAATCTTGTGGTGTCTTGTTTTTATCGTATGAATAGCGCAGTGTGTCAAGCAGAAGGATTAATTTAGGGGCCTTTTATTGGTTCAGCGACACACGGCTTCAGATCCTAGACCTACATGTAGAAAGCGGTAATTTTGAATACGTGCCACGCCGTACGTAAATTTCTAAACGAGTGAATATTAGGCTCTCCCCCATTGGTAACAGTACCCCAAATGATTAAAAATGCCATTATCACTGAAGATTTCCATTAACTTATTGTACAGTTTTATGTCCAATTTGTTGTCTTGGGTACTAATAATTATTCTGGCAAATAGAATAACTAGGTTTCCTGTTCCCCTTGTGTTATACGTATATGTTTGAATGTCTGCTGAAGCTTTCAAATTTTTTGTGAATTTGCATTAGTTAGTCGAGGATCTAGATGCAATACATTGGTAATATCTTATATAATTTAAAGTACCGACCGATATTAACAAACGTTTGAGAATATTCATTTTACGTGGCTGACGAATACGAACCTTTAATAACAACATATATCTACTTATTTTTTTAATAAGACACAAAAATTTAAACTTTTAGGATTTAGAAGATGAAAGAGATAAAAATTGTAAACTGGAGTCACAATTAACAGAACTAAAAAAGGAACAAGATCAAACCCTTCGTATTTTGGAAATGATGAAAAAAGAAATAAAAGACCTACAATCTTTAGAGGAAGAACATAGAACAAACCTAGTCAATTTAAAGTAAGTTTTTTTAATATCTAAATATTTAACTCATGAAATGTTATTTTTTGCTTAATAAAATAATAATATTGAAAAAAAAAAAAGAAAAATAAGAGGGATTTTACAATAATTACAATTTATCGGTTTTGCACATTTTGCTGAAATAGTTATTTAGTATACAAGTATGTGAGTGCGAGTGCCACAGTAGCAACAAGTACACAAAAGCGTTTCATACAGACATGTACGTCATATAATATTTTATTTACGACCACACTTAGTTTGGTCTTTTGTAGTAGATTGCATACAATATCTTAACCCATGGATCCTTCGAAATAAAGATGAGATGCTCAATTATATTTGAACGCAAGAAAATAAAGAGAGACTATTGAATCGGCTGCCTGTCTGTCAATGGCATCGCTCATTCTATACCGTTCTTCTGGCGTCATTGTATGAAACATAACATACTGTATCCTAGGAAGTACCACTCCGGCGTAGCTAGTTGCACTAGGTCTTTCTTCTCCAAGTGTAAGGACTCTTAGTCATGATAGACCTTTACAGTAGCACAATATATGTACTATAGTTTCCTCTTCTTTCTAGCAAAATCGGCAGGTCTCTTCTGCCAGACCGCTGTTATACATATGTTTGTTAAGCCTATAATGTTTTGTTAATAGTATTTTTCCTATTATGGCTTAGTAGATGGTCGGTGAGTTTTGGCGAGGGTTCTTTTCAGAACTCTTTGGCCTGCCTCTGTCCTGGTGAATTCTTCCGCCATTCCTGAAATTTGTTTAACATTACTGATTTGTGCATGTTTTGATAGTTGTCTTTATGACACCACAGAAGGGTTCTGGGCTAATAATAACTGGTCAAAGATGACATCCAAGTATTTGTCATCTTGGGCAAACGGAATCTGAACTCCTTTCAGTATTGGTGGCTTTAGTTCTGCCAATACCTTTTGTTTTGGAAAGTTTGATATTGTAGTTTTGTGAGGGTTTATTGTTAGTTGCTCCTCTCTACACAACTCGTTAACAACTTTTAGAGTAGTTTTTGTGCGCTCCGATATTACCTACGAACTTGCCTTATACCATAGGCAGCAGAACTTTGCAGATCTTGAAAAAGCTGAATCAGAAATAACGATTAATTCCAATAAATTCTGAGCTTACATCAATAATAAAAAGTGCTCCAATAAAGTTGGTAATATGATCTATGAAGGTAACTTTCTTCTTAATCCATCAGATATATTAAATGACTTTGCTACCTTTTTTAGTAAATCTTATGTGCAGTCTTCAGCCACAAATGTCCCGATAAATTAAAGCCACATGTATCACTTAAACATTACTAGCTTTCCTTTTAAAATACTGTGCTGTAACACTAGCTCATCCTTTAACTGTGCTTATAAATACCTGCATCCGGACTAAAATCATACCGTCAGTATGGAAAGAGTCTAAGGTTTGTCCCATATATAAAAAAAGGAAATAAAACTGAGGCAGAAAACTATCGCCCTATCTCTATCATCTATAGGTAACTTTAGTAAAGTGTTTGAAATGTTGCTGGAACGTACAGCTTACGTCCGCAACATAATATCAAATCAAAAACATGACTTTGTAAAAGGTCGTTCAACAGTTACAAATCTCTCCATAATTACGCATAATTAGGTATATTTTAGAAAACATTGGCAACCGAACTCAGACAGATGTTATTTATACGAATATGACAAAGGCATTTGATCAGCTTGACCACGGTATTTTGGTAACAAAAAATAGCCTCTTTTGGACTTTCAAATCTTATTTGGCTTCTTATATCACATCTCACCAACTGAACACAATACGTTCAATTAAATGGATTTAAGTTTAATCAGTATTCTGCCACCTCCGGTGTTCCTCAGGGGTCAAATTGGTGTTTAACATTTTCGTGAACGTCGCGGATTTTAAAAGGCTATCTGAAAATCTTCTGAGAATTATCGAATGGTATCGGGAAATTATTGATACTATCTCCAATTACAAACATGATAAATGGAATATCGCCCTTATGTGTCAATAGCTGTGACATTCGAAATTCTAATTCTCACTGGTTTTTGCGCGTGAAACGCGAATGTCGACCTAAAAACATTTGATTTTCGAAGTTCAAAAGATGGCGCCGAAAGATGAGTAGGTAGCTAAACTATTCTTTTTTATTTTAATATTTATTTGAAAGAAAATACCATATTGTGATACATTTTGAAAAGGAAATGAAACATGCTATTTAAAGAAATACAAATTCATTAGGGCGTCCATAACAATAAACAGTTATAGTCATTATATAGAAAATGGTAAGATATTTATTTTTCTTTTCTTTTTAACACGCTTATATTAGCTTCACCTGTGTGTTTGTAACTCTCCTTTGGACTCAAGTGGCTTATTACTGTCAGTATATCCCACTAAGTCAAGTTCGTTCGTTGGCCGAGCGGTCTAAGGCGCGAGTTTTCGATTGCCAGACTCACCGATCGTGGGTTCTAATCTCCACGGCTGAAAAAAAAAATAGTATATTATGCAACGATCATGAGAGTTGCATACGCTATTTTTTCTACACCCGATAAATAATCAAGAACTATAAATATTATATTCATATTGGTATTGAACACAATAACAATAATTACTCGTGTATTTCTATAAAAAATTCTACAAAATTGTAATTAATGGTATTACTTCGGGTATTGGTATTTCCCTAGATTTTTGCGGCAAAATATTTTGTACTGTATTTTCTGCTTTCTCCGATATGTGTGGAGGAGTCTTCTATATCGCTGATATCAGACATTTTAATATTATAATTAACGAAGTTTAGTTATCTACCAAAATTTAATACGTTTTGACAACTAAAACAAATACATAGGAACCTAGGACAAACGTCAAACAGCATGCTTGATTGAAAAATTGTAGGTTTCTATTGATTAAAAATCTGTATCGTAATGAAAAATCTGTATCGTAATGAAAAATCTGTATCGTAATGAAAAATCTGTATCGTAATGAAAAATCTGTATCGTAATGAAAAATCTGTATCATAATGGGTATCATTATGAAACGGATTATGGGCATATAAGTGCATTATTATAATACGGGTGTAGAAAATAGTATATTATGCAACGATCATTTAATAACCATTACATGAGAGTTGCATACGCTATTTTTTCTACACCCGATAAATAATCAAGACCTATAAATATTATATTTATATTGGTATTGAACACAATAACAGTAATTACTCGTATTTCTATAAAAAATTCTACAAAATTGTAATTAATGGTATTACTTCAGGTATTGGTATTTCCCTAGATTTTTGCGGTAAAATATTTTGTACTGTATTTTCTGCTTTCTCCGATATGTGTGGAGGAGTCTTCTATATCGCTAATATCAGACATTTTAATATTATAATTATCGAAGTTTAGCTACCTACGAAAATTTAATACGTTTTGACAACTAAAATAATTACATAGGAACCTAGGACAAACGTCAAACAGCATGCTTGATTGAAAAATTGTAGGTTTCTATAGGGACCGTGCGTGAAATATAGAGGCAGCACTACTGCCGAAGTTAGCCCTCTCTAGTGTTTAATTTTAGAATTAAATGGGGTAAACATTGCAAGTAAATAATAAAGAATATTTTTTAAAATATTAAATATAGTTAAATATAGATACCGGCCCGTACCAAACAATCGGGTACAAGGTAAAATGATATAAAATGTAAAACATTATTAAAATCTGGACATGTATGTACATTTTAAGCAAAGAGATTTATATGGCTAATTGACAATAAATTGTAAAGTTGTACCTTAAACAAGTGTATCCAATGTCAAAATATCGTTATTTAGTAACACTGAATTTAAAAGTATTACAATAACATTTCAAAAATGTAAATTAATAAAAAAGATTGGGAATAATAATAATTCTTTTTAGATTTATGTTAGTCGAAATGTCATTCATCCACTGACGTTTATGAGACGCCCAATGATATACATATTATAGATTGCTCACCCATCTATAAAAAAATTACGAAAAGCGGGTTGCAATGTGCCTTTCCTAGTGCTCACTAAAATAGAGCCGTTCTAGCCCAAATGTGTTTTAATATAAAATTTCAGTATTTTAATCTTTAGAAAAAGAAAATAATTAAAGTTTTACTTCAAGACACGTTATTATGTATTTGGAAAGTTGAGTTTCCATGTAGTTAAATAATATTAAGAGATCTAAACAATTTTTAAAACAGATGGATATAAATAATTTTAGACTACTCTCATTTCAGAAATTACACTACATAAAATACATAATTGCAATATGTAATACAATTTTGAAAAGGAAATGTAAACAACTTTGATATGAGATATAAACAACTTTGGTGAGAGTTGTAATTGGACACATCTATTATTCTGAATAATGTTTAATGGTAATGTCACTAAAAAAATTTACAAAAATCACTGGATTTTTAATATTTTAAAGTTTGTTGCAGTCTCTTTTGATAGTACTTGTAATGTACGTATTATTTATGATTTGTTTATTTTAGTAATAAATGAGAAATAGTTAATAAATTGTAAAGAGGGCTATGATATTTTTGTCAAATTGGACATACTTATTTCATAGTAACATTTCTACGTTAGTTTTAATCAACAGAATAAACCATTAATTATCTGTAAAATTATATTTATATAAAATGTTCATTTAAATATGTAAAAATCTTAATGACAATAAAACACTAAAGACTCTAATTTCTAAACCGGTTCTGTAAATGTTCAAGTGCTCAAAATTGATACAAAGCTAGATTAAAAAAAACTTTGCCCAGTGAAATACGCTTTTCGTCATCTGATTTACATATGGATAAGCAATCTATGTAATGTAATTATGTATATCATTGGGCGTGAGACACAATTCTGCTCTGTGAAAATTTATAAAATTTCTTTACTATTGAATGAAATCCAGGTTTCCAAAGTAATGTGTTCGTACATCCACGAATGCAACAAGTTTTTTCGATAATGATATTACGAAAATAATTCGACTTTATTTAATTAATAATTATTAAACAATAAATGCCATATAAAATATTAATAAATACCCCCTATTGATTAAAAATCTGTATCGTAATGAAAAATCTGTATCATAATGGGTATCATTATGAAACGGATTATGGGCATATAAGTGCATTATTATAATACGGGTGTAGAAAAAAATTATTTTTAACTTTTTAGTTTGATATGCTCTAAAAGCGTGTTTTTTAGTTTTTTTAAACTATATTTATTATAAAAACATTAAAAATGTGCCCATAGAATGTCTTAACTAAAATACTGTATATTATCAAAAAACTGAGATAAGAGCGTTTGTCAAAACCGAACCATTTAGATGCGATTATTTCAAAAACCTAAAACAATTGATAAAATGTAATAGCAGTTCTGTAGGCGGCAATAAAATCCTGAGAAACATTGCCGATTTAATGTGCAGCAATACATGCATCATCAATCTGGGACACAGTGTATGTTTTTCAAGGTTAAACTTTAATTATTTTAATTTTACATTGTATTGTATTTCTATAAATATTATGTGGTCTCAGATAAAATGTATGACACACGTACACAAAACCATATCTTCACACACTTTGTATTATAAATAACTATTATATTCTTCTACTTTGTCTATTATTAATTTGTTTCACTTAAACATTATTTTAGGAAACAGTCTGATGCTCACAAAAGGGAACGAAACGTTTTAAAACATCAAAGTGCCTTGATATTACAAGGGTTGAATGAAAATGAAGACGGTGACAACTATATGATGTTGATTCAAGAAATTGAAGATTTGAAAAGAACCCTTGAAGATGAAAGAAACAAATTTGAGGAAGAAATTAGCATCCTTCAGGTAAAATATTTAAGAACCATCCCGTGATAATTTTTAGACACTTTTACTAGTACAATTTATGGGCTGGTGGCCATATAGAAGAGCGCCCCAAGAACGTTTTTCTGGAATGGCAAGGGTATACACATTTGTAAACCTAACATTAAAAAGTAGGAAAAGCTTAATTTAGTTTAATAGATTTGAAATCCGGACCAAATTATATGGTTTAAGCTTATTTCCAATAATTGATTGCTATTTTAAAAATTTGCTAAATTTTTTTTGTTAAATTTGAGAGAAATCTGCACTTCCGTTGTGAAGAAAAATAACGCGGTTAAAGTTTCTAAATTTGCCATATTGTAGTACTGAACCTTCTGACAAATGCTTCTATACAAATTGGCCATTTGTTGAAAATGCCGCACTTTTTACTTTCCTGTCTTTATACATGCTGCGTTTGAAAACTACCTCGTTTTGCTCTTTTTACTCGAAGCCGTTCTTTTAATACATCTGTGGCTACATGATGGGATCTGTTCCGTGGTCTTTTATGCAGAGCTGATAAGTTGAATAAGATCTATTATCTCCGAATTAAATTTTAGAGCTTTCGCTTAGCGATTGTCACGATGCTTGGAAATATTCTCAAGGCCGTCTGTATGTTTGGTTTAAAATTTCCAAGGGACCAATTTCAATAAAATTTTCATACAGCGTTTTACTTTGGAATTTGAAGCATCATGTATCGCTTATTCCTTTTAAAGACGTCTTAAGTTTGCTTTTCAAGAGTCCCCAGCGCAAAGGTGATCCAACAAAAAAGTTATATATTTGTTGAACTGTTTCGAAAAAGGTTTGCATCTGAGCAGCATGAACTCCCACTAAATTAAAACTATGGGCAGTACAAGAAATAAATCGAGCATTATCATTTAGTAATAGAATTCGAGCCTGAACACTCTTGTACTTACCAGCCATATTCGCGCAATTATCGTATGATTGCCCTCTGATGTTAGTTAGATCCAATTTGTCAGCAATCAGTTTTTCCTCTATTTCTTTTGCAAGCTCTTCGACAGTTTTCTCGTGGGTATTGATGAAATCAGTAAAACTCTCTAGAGTCAAAATTTCCGTAACGTATTATTTGAACTAATTGTTCCTGATGAGAGACGTCTGTAGTACAGTCAAATAATATTGAAAAATATTTTGCAGTCTTGATATTCTCAATAATATGCCTCTTTACTTCTGTAGCTACCAGACTCATCAACTCGTTTTGTATGATAGAGGAAAAATAGGTCAACTGACCTTTATTGTGAGCCTCAATGTGATCTTTAATGATACTGTGGCTAATCAGTTAAATTATGGTTAGAAATTTACTACAATTTGAAAGACCGATAATTTCAGAAATGCCTCTCAGCGCATCATTATTTTTTATGCTATGTAGAATGGCATCAAGTATTACCTTCAAAATGTGTCTCCACTTGTTCTTCTCCTTTTGCATAGCTTTTAAAAACTTATCATCAATAAACCCGCCTCTGTTCAATTTTTTTTCGAATGCCTTTAGCCGGATTATAATTTTCACGGTGGCTTACCGAATTTTCGTGACGAGGCAACAATGGATTCAAATGTTTCTACTTTCTAAATCCGGTTCTCCTAGCACTATTTCTATTATTACAAAATAGTGTACAGGGAAGTTAAAAATTGAGTCTAGCTCTTTGCAGTATATAATCCATTATCTGGCTACTATTTCGCCATTTGCCAGTATTTCCATTGACCACTGATTTTTAAATTTTCTGTTGTCAAACTGATGCGACCCACTATCGTGCGTCTTTGCCCATCGTAGGCCCGTGGCAAATGCCACCTTTGCCACGCCCTAGCTACGGCTATTTTGTTTGTGTGTGTGAGTTTGAGTGCGCGAGCTCGTGTGTACCCAGGAATCCCAGATGTACTTAGCCTAAATTCGTGAGTTTGGTCATAAAAAAATCGTGAGAAATCGTGAGATTGTACAACGCATGCGCAGTTTAGTGAAATATATAGCATTTTCGATTAATATGTACTCTGTACGAGCGGAGAGTAAGGAATGGCTGATTTTTGATAAAGAAAAAAAATAATTTTCTCTCATTTTGGCTGTCCTTTCGTACAGATAGCTTCTAAACAAAAACGCTAACCTATTTTTTGAGAGTTACGCCCGTATGCACCGTACATGTTTAATCCAGATTAAGGGTGTAATCGCGTTTAGTACCATATTTAGCTATGGTACTAAACGCGATTAAATCCTTGATGCCCCTACAGCATAATTCAATTGTATGATTAATTAAAAAGAATTGTTTCTATATAAAAACTTAAAATTCGTTACTGCAAAGAGCTTGTTTAAAAATATCGTGAGAATAAGGCGCATTATCGTAAGATCGTGAAACTCAATACTAAATCGTGAGATCTCACGATAAATCGTGAGATCTGAGGTCCCTGTGTGTACCTGCATATTTGTATGCCAGATTTATCTGCATGTAAAATGTATTTTGATGTAATAGTAAGGTTATACACAAAAAAATAAAAAAATATAGGTACAAGCAACGAGTTATTAAAATTACTGCAATTTGTAGGTATAATCAAAGTAATAATAAAAAGCATGCAAATTAAATAGCGATGATAACTAAAGTTTAACTTGCGCAATTCCAGCGATGGAAGTTCTACTCCAGGAACAGCGATGCAATTCAACACCAGTTATTTGGCACTCCAAATAAACTCCATACATAAAAAGAATCCTTCCGAACAAGAGGGATAATGTCCCACATCTCTTTTACACTCAAATACAGGCGGTGAAAAAGAAAAGGAATAGAAGCATCTACTTAAATTGAAAGCGGCAAAGCAAACCAGAAAAGAAACACCCCTGGCCAATGGGGTTTTGTCGTTTACACAATCAATTGTTTTAATTGTTATATAGCGATTACATGCCTCGGAATGGTGAAATCCTAAATTTCAATGGTACAAAAGTTGAATTGTACACAAGCTCGAATTAATTCCTCACTTGTAGAGCGTGATTTAACAATAAATATCCAAAGTATCACTTAATTAGATACAAACTATAACCAGCTGTTAGAACACTAGGATGGTCTTATAAAAAATCCCCCAAAGGGCTGAACATAAATTTTTAAAAAATATCACTTGACCACTACTGTAGGTGTGTACTCAACAAGATTGTTTCCCAAAAAGCCCCCTAGATATATGGTTGGCCCGTTGGCCCATACCACTATATTAACTAACTTGAGAAGAGACCACGTCACTTCCAGACATTATAAATATTTACCATCAAAAGATTTATTCTTTAGTTATAATTTAAAGGTTGATGAACAACATTTACCCTATCATAGTAATAACTTACCATGAACCCTACAAATACAAAATTTTTACCACAAATATCCTCACTTAATTAATAAATAATAGTTTATTCTAAATGCTGGCCAAGAATTAGCCTAATTAAATTTGGACATATAGTGCAGGGAAATTTTACATTAGAGGTGGAAGAATCCAATTTAAACTGTTACAATTGGTTTAAAACTTATTTACATTTTTCTGGTGGTACACGTGCGCATGTGCTCCTATGAACGAGCCGCGCCTGATTCTGATAGATTTAAAATTTTGTTTTTGGAAGGGATCCAAGATTTTTTACGGTGCGTTTATTTTACGCGTTTTCAAACCTTTTTTTTTTCGATTTACAGGACCGGATAGAAGATCAAGACAACAATGCGCAAATAGAGGTCCTAGAAGAGAGACTCAAGCTAGCGGAATCTGAGCTCCAAGCAGCTAATGAACGAGCTGATAGAGCGGAGGAAAAATTAAAAGCACCTTTCATTCCCCCACCTCCGCCGCCGCCTCCAATGCTTCCACCTCCTCCTTGCATGGATCCTCCCATGGTTCCTTTAAGGAGAAGGAAAAGTAAAGTCGCCTTATCCGATTTGGCTGAGTGCATAGGAGTCCAGGTTAGTGTTATGTTTGGGACGTGTGTATCTGGAATAAACTCACGACTTCTATATTAAATGGCATTCTTAAAATATTTAAAGTACAATACTGTATTAAACATTACTTGGTATCGTCGATAGTGCATAGTGCATCTAACCCTTTTTTAACTTACCCATATAAAGGTAATGAAAAGAAATATTATTCCCTATTCAAAATCAAAATTAGTAAAATAATTTAATGGATATCTTAAACATTGTTTGAAAGATAAGTGAACATTGTCCCTTTTTTGGTACCTTTATAAACTTAGTTCTAAACAACATGAACTCAACCACCCTCCTTCCTGATTACTGTTATCAACGATAAACATCTGAAAATTTGAAATTAAAAGATAATAACTAGCCTAATTTTAAATATAGTTTACGAAGAAGGAGGCATTTTCTATTCAGAATAAGTAAAATTACTTGAAATAATGCAAACATAAAGAAAATTACAATGAATATAATGGAGTACATTAAACTGTATGTCACGTAGTGGCTATACATATCAAACAATCATTTATTAGTAGGCCTATTTGCAGATTCAAATGCAGCGCCGTTATAAACATAAACATATCAATCATAATCATTTATCAAGATCCATTCGCAGACCCAAATGTAACGCCATTATATACATATCAATCATAATCATTTAATCGATGCCCATTTGCAGACCCAAATGTAGCGCCATTATGAACATACTAAACATAATTATTTAGTGTAGGCCCATTTCAAAACCAATTTAGCGCCATTATTAACATATATCAAGAATAATCGTTTATTCTAGCCCATTTGCGTCATTACGGTCAGTATTTTGACATGGTTTTCTTACGTTCCGACCTTACATAGAAGATATTGATAAAAAAGAAATGTGAGTTATTGGCATTTTTAGGAGACACTGCATTAAATAGGGCATATTCAGAGGTAGTAAAAATTAAGTTAGTTAGTATTGACATTTCGATGCTACCACTGGTGTCTTCGTAGAACGTAGTTTTTCCGCGCTTAAACGCATAAAGACTTATTTGCGAAATCCGACAGGATAAGATCGACTTACCAATGTATCTTTATTAGTAATTGAGAATAATATAGTTAGGGAAATGTTACAGTAACCGCGTTTTTACAACAAAATGATAGACGAATTTGTAAAAACTAAATAATAGGTAAATTTTTTCATTTACTTCGCTTCTCTCCAATTTTACCGCACGCCCCTGCATTCCAATTTATTTTTTCGTAATATAATTTTGAAACAAAAGGTTATAGGCCAGAGTACGTCCACCTCTATTGTGTTAGATTACCATATTTAAAATTTCGTGAGTTGCTTCATTTTTACGAGTCTACTACATTTTTCTTTTCATATTTTCACATTTTCATAAAAACGCTGCGTTTTCTATGTGCAACACCTGAACATGTCGATTTTACGATGTTGTGTAATACAATAACCATATACTTCGAGGCTTGACCGATAGAATTAATCCGGCGATCGATGAGTCCACCGGCTGCAACATGTCAAAATAACGAGGTTATGTTTTCTTATTGCCACATAATTAATGTTCACAGGATTTTTTAATAAATACACCCTTACCTAATGGGTTACAGTGACCGACAATTTTAAAACGCCGTTTTTTATGATCTGAATGTCATTTTTATGATGAGTAGGTAGTATGCTGATTACCACAATAGCTATTTGTATTACTAGGGAGGAAAGTGTCACTTTTCCTCCCGCAGGATGAAGTTTACTGCCCGACGCGAAGCGGAGGGCAGTAAACGTCCAAGGGAGGAAAAGGCACTTTACTCCCAAGTAATACATATGATTTTTCCGCCTCCCTCAAATAACAAGTCATTTTTAAATAATTTATTTATGAAACTAATAAACAAAATTTATTAAAGAACTAAAATTATGAAGTAGGTATAGTATAAATTATAGGCATGTTATTTTCATTCTTGCATCCTACATATTTTTAATTTGTGGTAGAGTAATTATTTTTCTGAGTAAGTACGAATATGCTTTTCTTCGGCCCATTGCTTGAAATGTAAATACTGTTTTTCGTATTTTTCTTTAGATTTTTGGGGTAATAGAGATTGAACTGTTGCATTAACCTATTCCAAAATATCCGGTGGTGTATTATTTATATCTTTAAATTCGCTTGAATCACTCATTTTTTAAATATTATTTTATATTTTGTAGATATTATGGGGTCTATTCTGTAAAAATTCCTTTATATTTAACGGCCTTTAAAAATATTTTCTTCTTTAATTCGGTCACTATTTAAACGGATCTTTAAAATACATTAGAGGACTATCTTAAAGAAATCTGTTTAAATAATGATAGAAGTAAATTAACGAATACGAACATGTTTTTATAGGCCGCAAATATTTTTAAAGGCCGTTAAATATAAAGGAATTGTTACAGAATAGACCCCATTATAGCGTAACACACTTTAAAACTGATCTGTCAATCTGTCCTAAATTCGAAAATCGGATGAATCTATGAATTTAAGTCAAATTATTAATGTAAAAATCGTTAAATTAAAATAACAATTTACTGATTTTTACTATTTTGCAAAATACAGGGTGTTCTATAAATAAACGGTAAAATTCATTCTTATATAATAGAATATAGTTTAGGTCGTCAATGCCGTATAAGCTATTTCATTTATGACATACCATGACGTCACTTTTACTTTTCCTCCCTAGGGAGTAAAAGTACTTTTCTTCCCTAGGGAGGGAAAGTATGACTTTGCTCCCTGCAATGAGGTCAGGAAATGTATACTTTGGATAGAGGTAGGCGGAAAAAATATTGTGCCTTATTGTTTACCGACAAAATGTGATAAGAAGAATGAGTTTTTTCTATTAAAATTGCTGACTGACTAATAAGCTACATGTAAATAATTTGGCATCTTACATATCTTTCGAACTGAAAATTTAAACATAATATGGTAATCAGCATACTACTCATCGCAATCAGCCTGAAAAATCGGCACTATGACCGTTTGGGTGAGGGTGTATTTATTAAACAATCCTGCAAAAATTAATATTTATGTGAAAATAAGAAAATAACCTCGTTATTTTGACATATTGCAGCCGATGTACTCATCGATCTCTAGATTAATTCTGTCGGTCAATCCTTGTTTCGTGTAAAAGTGTGGTAGACACGTAAAAATGAGATTTAAATATGTGGTAATCAAGCAAGGCATCACATACTGTGGACTATAAAGTTCTTCCTAAAGATATTCCTAGTGCCAAGTTAAGGTTTATCTTACCCAACCCAAAAATTAATGTTTAGTTCAAAAATGTTCAAAAAATTCACCTAACATACTTGGTCTATGCGATCTTTATGTCATTGTTATACTAAGAATTTTACAAAAATTTTAAACACAATAAATAATCTGTAAAACTATAAACGTACAAAATTAGCGTATTTCATGTTATTATAACCGTTTATTGCTTTACACACCACCTAAGATTTATTCTAAACGCTAAAAAATGGTAAAAAGTCAATAACGTTTTAATTAAATGAATATTTTTATATTTGGCACCTAAATCATTAGTCCAGTCGATGCTGCTACGAATAGAAATAGCATTAATGTTTCTGAATCTACCCACTGGGATGTATCTTGAGTGGCGATATTTTTGTCAAGGTTCCAAATGGAATTAAAAATCAGAGCATAAAGTAAATTACAGAATGGGTAATAAAACAGCAAACGTAAAAATTAATTTTGGGATTATGTGGGTGAGTCGGGAGGAGCGCACCAAACTCTAGGAGTATATTATACACGTGAAAATAATGTAAAAAAACTCATATGTTCTTATCCGATTTTCATTTGTTTTCAAGTTATAGCATATTAACAAATAAACAAATTTACACATAAAAATTCTCTTATTCTAAATTTGAATAAGTATTTGGCATTTTGCAACACTAACAATCACATAAATTCGAAATTAAACGTTCAGTTACTGTTCACTGTACACTGACAGTTCATCAAAACGTCAGAATTATCAAATGACTTTGAGCCTTGAACATATGGCATACTTTGATAATGTTAAAATTCAGAAGTGGAAAGCTAGATGAACATTTTTAATTACGCCATAACTTGAAAACAAATGAAAATCGGATGAGAACATATGAGTTTTTTTACATTATTTTCACGTGTATAATAATACTCCTAGAGTTTGGTGCGCTCACTCGTATAAATATTTTTATATAAAACTGGTTATAGCGTGTGAAATACCTTGTGTATTTCCATACTATTTGATATTGTTATAATGAGAAAAGCAAGGGTAAATATTTCAAATATAAAATAACATACAGGGTGATCCATTTAAAAAACATATTTTAAATGGATACCAAATATTTTCTCAATATCTAGCGTATCAAGATACCATAGAATCAATATGTGGACAAAACTCTTCCTCCAGAATGATAGGAAAACGAGTTTAATTCTTCATATTCGTTATTACCAAGTTTTATGTTTCATAAATTGATTATAACAAGCTCATGTAACTTTTACATTTTATTAGTCATTTCAAAGTAAAACTATTGTAAAAAAATATGCAATTTATCCGACAAAATTTTAAAACATAAGCCGAGAAAGGAAAGTATGCATATTGAAAAAATTTTAATTAATAGATTTTTATTAATCTTTACCTATGGTGACTGAGCGTTACACATATATAAATAATAACTCCAAAAACTTACACATTAGTTTTTCGGAAATTCCAACTCCGACGAGATTTTTTGTGAAATTTAATTCTTTTTATTCGTTATTACCAAGTTTTATGTTTCATAAATTGATTATAGTAAGCTCATATAACTTTTACACTTTATCAGTCATTTCAAAGTTAAGCTATTGTAAAAAAATATGCAATTTAACCGACGAAATTTAAAAATATAAACCGAGAAAGAAAAGTATGCATACTGAAAAAAATTCTAGATTTATAGATTTTTAATAATATTTACCTATGACTGAGCATTACACATATATAAATAATAACTCCAAAAACTTACACATTAGTTTTTCGGAAATTCCAACCCCGACGAGATTTTTTGTGAAATAATCGAGTCATTTTATTTGCGTTCTTATTAACTTCTAACAACTAAACTATAAAATAAATGTCAAAAACTTTTAAAACACTAATTTTTAAGTTCTAACTGTTAAAACAAACTGACTAATGAATTTGCACATATATTTCTTGTCTTATTATGCACCCAAAGTGCGTTTACATTAACAGTATAAAAATATCACGTCTCAATAAGCTTATCGCATTTCATTTTTGACGGTGTATCAATTTCTAAACCATGTATGTTGGCAGTATTAAAATAAACAACTAGAATCTATAATTTTGAAAATACATATTAGTAGAGTTTTTAGAATATATATACACCGTGTCCCACGTAAGGCGGGCATTACAATTTTATGGAGAATAAATTAATTTGTATTTTCGCCATTTTCTGAGTATACATAATCGAATATGCTCTTTTGAATTAAAATAAAATGAACTCTGTGCAACTTCCGGTTATACCGGAAGTGACCACTAACTTCGTTATTTTAAAGGGAATGCCCCATATTTTTTTTTAATTTTAGATTCAGCATGAAATTCTGTAAACAACGATACCCCATTTGCCTATTCTAGTTATAGCGGATTTGGCGTTATTCAATTTTTTTCTACATTTTTAGTCGCCGGTAGACATTTTCTTAAAGTCGTCTATCTCAGGTACTATATCTATCAGATACTTAAAATTTTAACCAGAGGTAGTAGATGGGATGTACTTCTTGAGAATATTTAGTTATTCATTATTTGTTGTACGGGGTGTTTGCAAATTATTTTTAAAAATGAAATTTTTTAAACATAAAAAACTTTTTTTATTTTAAATTGAACACCCTATATATTTTTTAAATTTTAGATTCAGCATGAAATTCTGTAAACAATGATACCCCATTCGCCTATTCTAATTATAGTGTATTTGGCGTTATTCAGTTTTTTATAAACTTTTATATGCCGGCAGACATTTGCTTTTTTAAATTTACTTGTACATCGTTTGTTCGACTGTGTGTTTGGAAATTATTTTAAAAAATAAATATTTTAAACATGAAATTTTTTTTTATTTTAAATGGAAAATCCTGTATATTTTTATTTCATTTTGTTCAGAAAATTATTCTTCATTGATCTTCATTTGCACTATTAATTCCCTATAATTATCTCTCGCCAATTTTAAGAAAATTTAAATTTAAATTTTACGCATGCACCTACATAATATAGTATAGTTTTACATTTTAATTTTTTATCTTAGTATGCCGTGGAAATATGCTAAACAACAATCTGTCAACAAACTGAATTGTCATATTTCTATGTATTTAAGTTGTGTATTTTTTGCGTTCAAAATATGGAAAATATTGAAGAATATACCAACCAAGATATTCTTAATTTATTTTACATTCATGGAGAATGTAATCGAATCAAAAGTAGAACCTGCCGCATGTTTAATGAACGATACCCTCATTTACAACCAATGAACAGACAGAAATTTGATAGAATCGAAGCTAACTTTTTGAATAATTTTAAACAAAACCCGGGAAGAAACCGTCAACATTATGTCCGAGATGAAGAAGTTAATCTAATTAACGTATTAGGGTATTTTACTGCGTATCCTCACGCCTCCATTAGAATGGCTCAAGATAATTTAAATATTAGTCGAGGGCCAATACAACGAATTTTAGCACTAAATAAATGGCATCCCTATGCACAAAGAAAAGTTCATGAGTTGCGAGATGGTGATCAAATAAGACGAACTGAATTATGCGAATGGTT